AATCGCATCTTAGACTAGGCCATCCAAGTTTTTTTTATTTAAAACATTTATTTCCAAATTTGTTTAAGGGTGTTAATTGTGCTTTACTTTAATGTAAAACATGTTATTTCGCAAAAAGTCATCGCATAAATTTTTCTCCAAAACCATACTCTCCTTCAAAACTTTTTTACATGATCCATAGTGATGTTTGGGGACCTTCAAAAGTCAAAACATTATCTGGGAAAAAGGGATTTGTGAATTTTATTGACGATCACACCAGAATATGTTGAGTTTATCTTATAAGCAAAAAATCAGAAGTTGAAAAACTTTTTAAAGATTTTTACAAGATGATTCAAACTCAATTTGAAACTAAAATATGCATCCTTAGATCTGACAATGTAACTGAATATTTCACTGAATGTTTAGGGGAGTTCTTAATAAACAAAGACATAATTCATCAATCTATTTGTCGTGACATTCCACAATAAAATGGAATTGCTGAAAGAAAAAATAGACATTTACTTGAGGTTGCTCGGGCTATCATGTTTTCAATGAATGTTCTAAAATATTTATGGGGGGAAGCTGTTTTAACAGCATCATATTTAATAAATCGAATGCCAACTCGAGTTTTACAATATACAACTCCTCTAAACAAACTGAAAAATAATTTTTTAAGTCTACGAATGTCTTCAAATATTCCTTTAAAAATCTTTGGATGCACATGTTTCGTTCATATTCCGAATAATTGTCGATCAAAATTGGATCCAAAATCTGAAAAATGCATTTTCTTGGATATGCCTCAAATAAAAAGGGTTACAAATGCTTTAATCCTGTCACAAAAAAAATTTACATTAGTATGGATGTGAGCTTCATGGAAAAAATTCCCTTCTTTCCCAAAAATCCACTTCAGGGGGAGTATAATATAGATGGAGAAGATGATTTTTGACAAGTTTCTAACCCATTACCAAAAATTGTTGTAACATCAAGTACACCTGAGGTCTGTGAAAACAAAGAACCAGAAATAGTTGTTGAAAATAAGGAGAACCCTAGTCAAGAGACACCTAAAGTATCTTGTCTAATACAGGGGGAGAAATACTGCATAATACAACAGCAGAACCTCTTGTTTATTCCAGAGAGAGGCTCCATAAAAGAAAAAAAAATCAAACTGAATCTTTAGCTCCCTCCCAATGTGAAGAACCTAATGATGGTCCTCAAGAAACACAGGTAATTTCTGATACTGATCTTATTTTTTCACCAACAGAAGCTCAAGATTCAGAGATTATGAATATCGCTCTTCCTATAGCCTTTAGAAAAGGAACATGTTTTTGTACTACCAAATATCCCATTTCGAAATACCTATCCTACAAAAAAATCTCACACAAACATCAAGTTTTTTTGTCAAAAATTTCTAATCTGTCTGAACCTAGAATAATACAGGAAGCTCTTAGTAATCCAAATTGGAGAATAGCAGTAAAGGAAGAGATTGATGCTCTTTTGAAAAATGGGACCTGGGAAATTGTCACTCTACCAAGAAACAAGTCTACTGTTGGGTGTAAATGGGTCTTCACTACTAAAGTTAAAGCTGATGGGAGTATCAAAAGATATAAAGCAAGATTAGTAGCGAAATGATTCACTCAAACTCATAGAATTGACTATCATGAGACATTCGCTCTGGTTGCCAAGATCAATTCTATTCGGGTTTTACTGTCCATAGCAGCAAACCGTAATTGGCCCCTGCATCAGCTCGACGTCAAAAATGCATTTCTAAACAGTGAATTAAAGGAAGAGGTATTCATGGATCTTCCACCAGGATTTGAGAAGAAGTTTGGAGAAGACAAAGTGTGCAGATTAAAGAAATCTTTGTATGGGCTCAAACAATCTCTTCGCGACTGGTTTGAGAGGTTTGGAAAGGTGATTACAACGTATGGATACACTCAGAGTCAAGCTGATCATATTATGTTCTACAAACATTCAAAAACTGGTAAACTTGCTATACTCATTGTCTATGTAGATGATGTTATCCTTACAGAAGATGATGCTAGGGAAATTGAGAAATTAAAAAGGTTGGCCACAGAATTCGAGATTAAGAATTTGGGAGATGTAAAATACTTTCTTGGTATTAAGTTTGTCAGATTTAAGGAGGGGATCAATGTAAAATACTTTCTTGGTATTAAGTTTGTCAGATCTAAGGAGGGGATCATTATTAATTAGCGAAAGTATGTACTCGACTTATTCAGTGAAACCGAAATACTTGGGTGCAAAACAGTTGAAACTTCAATTGAACCAAATAAAAGGTTACAAGTGACAAATAAAATAGATGGTATCAATTAAAAACAATATCAGAGACTGGTGGGAAGACTAATCTACGTGTCACACACTCGTCCTGATATAGCATCTGTTGTTAGCATGGTAAGTCAGTTTATGAGAAACCGATAGACAGCCTCTAAGTGATGAGTATTTGGGGAATACATAAACTTTAGCTTATCAGCAAAAAATTTAGCTTGCAACTCCCGCTTACAATAAACCACAAACATTACTTTCACTTATCACCAGCAACCCACATTGTCGACTTCCTTCCTTGTCCTACACAAAGCTCAATGCAACGCACCTCCCTCTCACTATCAATTTCAGCTTATTAATGCACATAAAAAACTAGTTGTTCAGATGTCAGACATCTCCTTGTTCTCATCATCAACGCAGCTCCCAACCTCCCTCCCACTCATGCACGCCGCTCTCTCACCCACATCATCCTCTCTCTAGCTCCTGCCACAATTGTTGAAATCCTCATCAGGACAACGAGCAAGAAACCTCAACATGAGATCATTGGTTAGGTAATGAAAAAGAAAACGAGTTTGTGAGCCTGTACAATTAGGACTCCCAAAGATTCGCTTTTTTCATAACTGAGATTAAATAAAAATGGGATAGAAGAGAGAATAAGATTTTGATTGATTTATAATCGTCATGTTTCCTATTAAGCGAGTTTAAATTAAAACTATAGTCATGTCCAGCCACCAAACCATCTCATTTCATGAAAAAGGTAAAGCAAAAGACAGAAAGGTATGAGCAGGAGAAAAAGAGAATATAAGAAAAATAGTTACATAAATTTTGTCCGCTTACCAGTACTCCAATCGACTTGCCATAAATTCATCTACAATGGTGTGTAGAAAAGTAATGAATTGTGTTAAGAAGATTACGCAAGATTTATTGGGATGAGGAAATGTAAGAACGGAGACTTGATGGTAAAATGATAAGATGAGAATAATCTATAAAACAGTAAGTTTATAAATAAAAAAATAATAATAGGAAATTGAAATTGTAAAATATAAGCAATGTAAGTCACAAATGTAAAAAAGAGTAAGATAAGCAAAGGTTATAACTTTTCCGTTAGACATGTGTAGCTTAAGCATTAAAAAATAAATGGTCATACAACTAAAATAAGAGAAAGAATCAAGTGATTGTGATCAAATAAAGTTTATCCATGATGAAGGCATTATAATTATTTCTAATCATAGATATTAAGTAACTAAATGAAAACTTATAAAAGGGCAAGTAAAAAAAAATAATGAATGAAACAAATCCAAAATGAAAAGAATTGAGATAGCCGTTAAAACAAAATAAAAATAATTTTACGCCAAAATTAATTATTAATTGAAATTTGGAAAGTTGTATAAGACATGTAACTAGAAGACTTAACAAACTTTGTTGAATTCATAAAGCCGAGGGAATTCCAACAAATGTAATGGCCTTAACAGAGCCTGGCACATCGGGTTGCCAATGAAAAACACAAGAACCTTCCTGCTACCCTCCAACTCGGCACTAAATCTCCTATAGACGGCAGTAACTTAATCTTACTGTGTCAAGTATAATGAAAATGGATTTGCAAAAACTATGTAGAATAAGGTGTAGTTAAGAGAATATTTAAGTCACAAAATATCAATTGAAAAACAATAGCTAGTTTAGAAGTGTTTCATCAAGTAACAAAAAAAAAACAACCAAACACAATAAGGTTACATCAACGGTCAGCATTCAATCAGAAAATTTCATATCTTTTATAGGTGGGCATATTGACATATTTTAAAAATTGGGTATCATGGAATATTGTATGTCCTTATGACATTACTTCTATGGCAGTTTAAAGTAGATAAATTGATTGACCAAGGACACAAAACTACAGAGAATAAATGTTTTAAGAATTGTGGAAATAATGTTTGAGAACTTGCAATATCATTTCGTGCGTGTGAAAACTTTAATTAATTATGGTAGACAATCAACTGATTCCTGAGCATTTTAAGTTTCAAGCGTCAGCGCTAAAGAAAGCAAATTTAGGAACATGATAGCTATATGTGATGAGGGAATACCCCAGAGACTAACACAGATGCATATAGAGGGTACCATTACAAGTTTCAAGCAATCAACATCTTCTTTTGTAACAATAAGTGGCAAAAGCAACAATATTAAAATAAAAGTATATTATAAGAATAAAGAGTGCGAAAGATGGAGAAAAAAAGAAAAACTCTAATGAAAATTTGATTTAAAGACCATTTATGCTAAAAGATTAGTTTAACCCTCTAAGCAAATAGTGACTTGGAAAAAAATTAATAAGGCCCAATAGGTTGTTTGATGGCTCTGGAAGAATGAATTGAAAAAAATCAAGCCAAGACAAACACCATACTCAATAAATCCAAACCAATCAAATTTATTCTCTTAATTCCCCAAGCTACTAATAAAATTTGTTTATTCCCGCAAACAGGATGTAGATCAATTATATTTACCTAAATTCCACACACCTAGGTTCAAACAGTTTTGAAGAAAGTCTCAGCTATTATCGGTTCCCAACATCATAGGAGCAAAAATTTTAGTTGAAGATGATAAGCAAAATTACAAATTTTAGCAATTTTCAAGAATAAAAAATCCTTCAAGAATTTCCAGTGTTTTTAGTTTTTTATGAGTCGGTTTATGTTGACCAAGACAATATATAAATAATTACAGTGTCTACCAGGAACTAGAAGCTATTAAATTACCTGTTCGGAAATGTTGATAAACTTTAGACTGATCTCTTCAAATGACAAAATAAAGTTCACCTGCAAAAGCATTAAAAATACAAAAAAAGGTTAAATAACTCAATGAAATATGTATGTAAAAACCGCATCCTGACAGCAACTGAACTTTTTGAATAGTACACTTATGCATCCTAATGAAGTTAACTAAACCTGTTAAAACGTAAATAATAATTGCAAGCACACTTTAGAACATCATACTCTGAAAGAAAGTCATCTAATTCATTTCATCATATTTAGCAACTGCTTACCAATAAACAAAATTGCATAATCAACCTTATAACAATTAAAAATAGACGGCTTATAAAGCCAATTATTAAAATGAAGAGATACATTTGTGATAGTTATAGTTACAGTAAACATTTTCGTAAAGGATTTCGAATCAACCCCTTTGTACCCATTTCAGGCATTATCACGCATACATGCATGCAACATGAAATGGATATAATGTAGAAGAAATGAAATGAAGGGTGCCAACGGAAAAAAATAAAGACTAGATATGAGAATTCACCAAACAAAAAATCGCCTAAAATAAAGTTCATGTTTGTACTTCAAGCTTCAAGAAACGATTTAAACTAAATTGATTGTCTCACATTCTATGCAAATACGTATTGCGGTTGCAATGGATTGGTCGATAACCCTATGGACAAAAGCTGACTAACAAGGACTAAGTAATTGAGGTGAGATGCTCAATGTCTAAAATAAGGAGCAAATTATTCAAAGATTAATGTCTACAATTTCTTACAATTATATCAACCGATCAGATACTAACATTAGAAATTCTGCATAATTTAAGATGTTGCTAGCAAAAGGTACATAATTATCTATTTATATTGAACTTCGAACATGTTATAGAATTCAATTTAAGATCAATTTATAAAATATAATGCATAATCAAATATGTAATAATGAATATTAAATGCCATACAATATTTTAGATGCATTCAGTATAATTTAATAGTTAACACGTACATATCCATACTCAATAAGTAAACATAGATAAAAATAAAGTAATTGATAAATAAAAATCAATGAAAAGCTATATGAATAATATATATAGGCAAACAATGATGACCGGCGTAGAGAAAGGCAAAATTTCCGATGAGAAGAGCCTCGATTCAGAAATAAGAGTTTTCGACTACAGATACCAAAGTTGGAATGACCCACCCTGCATCCAATGTCATTCATAACTGCCATATAAAGCAGACCAAACTTTATTGATAATTATTACAGATGGCAGGCTCAATAGCCACCCAACTATTTAAATATTTCTAAAAACCTAGACAAATATTATATGACATTTCTTAAAATGATGAGTACTAAAGAAATTTATATACGAAATGGGCTACTATAACAAAATAAAAGATTTGATACTTAACGATAATATTAATTTATAGCAAACTGCAAAACTTAATGCATATGATAATGTTTTTTTCTGTTTATTAAAATATCAAAACTCCAGCATTAGAAGAGTTACGAATATAAATGGCATTGCTCATCTTAGTCAAATATCAGCATATACATTATTAATTCTTTCATGTACATTTGAATCTTATTTTATAATTTTCTATCTCATCTATTGTTGAACTTATCAGATACAATAAATATGGTTCCACAATTAGAAAATAAGAAAGTAGAACAATGGATATGTGATTAATTTTACCAGTAGCATACAATTTTTGGGTTTTACAAGCTTAACTGTTTAATAGAAAATAGATATAAATGATAAAAATTAAAAACTTCTGGTATATATAAATTTTATGTTCAAAGTTTCTTCAAAAGCTTTGTATTTTTTATATGCACGTTTTCGTATCATTATTTAAGATGAATAGTAAAGGATCAAAAAAATTTCTGTGTTTTGTGACAATCTAGGCAAAACTAATTTTTTACTCAATTATCTACTTTAGTGAAAATCAAAATTAGTGTTGATGGAAAATGGATTTGACTGAATTGTCTTCCTCTAATACAGCTATCGTCAATTGGAAAGGGTTGATTGGGATGTGGCGCCACAGGAGCAGAAAGCCCAAGTCAACACCCTATTCAAAATTCAAACTTTAATGATTAGAGATCTCATTCAAGGGAGTATTGTGATCCAACTCCCAAGCATCTAGAGAACATGGGCATTACAATTTCTAGAGGTAAATAAGCCTGCTTAAATAAACCATATTTTATTACTTTTATACAAAAAAAAAATTAACTGAACACTGGCTACTTTTGATTATAATAAAATTTGTAGAACATTATCGCCGGAGAATGGCAATTGTAGGATCTTCAATTAATGATTTTGATTGTTCATGATACTAATGTAATCTCTATTTTAACTGAACACAGGCTACTTTTGATTATAATAAAATTTGTAGCCAGTGTTCATGAAGCCAAAATAGAGATTACATTAGTATCGTGAACACTAGCTAATTTATTAGGGTTTGCCCTCTCAGAGGGTCATTGAAAGTTGTTTCTAGTCATCGCTTTGATAAAAAAATATGTTTCATCAAATGGTTTTGATAATAATGAACCACCACCACCAGCGTCAATGATAGACCTAAGGGATCCTACTAACCCATTATAAAATGTTTGAATAATCAACCAGTTTCGCAAAGTGTGATGTGGACACTTCATAAGGAGTTCTTTAAATCGTTCTCAAACTTCGTATATTGACTCACATTTATACTGAGTAAACGAGGCAATATCATTTTTAAGCTTAGCAATTTTTGAAGGTCGAAAGTACTTAGCTAGAAATTTCTGAGCTAATTCTGCACAATTTTTAATAGAGTCAGGTGCTAATATTTTTAACCACATTTTAATTTTATCCCTTAAGGAAAAGGAAAAAAGTATATATTTGTATGTGCATTATTCCCTATGATGGACTCACTCATTTATGATATTAGTGAAGAAAAACTAAAGTACTTAGGACTTGGATAAGAAAAAGAATATTGATATTGAAGTAACTTTATTAATACAATTTTTAGACGGTACTCCTGTCATACAGACATAGAATCATATTGATATGTTATTGATATAGTAAAACAAACTTGAATAGCATGAAATATCGTAATTGATCATATTAATAACCACCACATGTTTTATACTGGTGACTATCAAATGTATTAAAAGTTTAACCGGCATGCATATTAATTAGTTCAACTTAACTTTTCCATATAAAATGTTTTATACCGATAAATTATAATTATTCAACTTAACTTTTCCATATATTAATTTTCCACTCTAATTTAACGTTAAGTACTTGTAGCCTTTATTTTTCATATTTAAATAAATCTTTCAAATTTCTATTAGACTAACTAATTAATATATTTTATACTGGTGACTATCAAATGATCAGGCGCTAATGAGTTTAACCACGTTTTAGTTTTATCCCTTAAGAAAAAAAGAAAAAATATAAGTCTAACAGGATCATTTGAGACACCGTCGTACTTAACTGTAGCACATAATTCTAAGAAGCTAACTAGGTCTAAGTTTGGATCCCCATATGGAGTTCCCCCAAACTGGTTATTCTGTATCATTTGGATTATAGCGGGTTTCAGCTCAAATGAGTTAACTGCTACAACAGGGATTTGTATGCTAAAGTGAATTTCATCTACTGAGGGATTGCATAATGCCTTAAGGGCTTTATACGTGATGATGACCATTTTCAACGGTTTGATTATCTAAGTTGTTATGTGATGTGTTTGTCATTTCTTTCAAATTGTGAATTTCTTTTTATTTTTGAATTTTTCTTATAGTTCGTTCTGACTCAGAATCGTAATGTACTAAATCTTCAAATCCTTAACTACGCATACAAAAGTAAAAGTTCAAAAAATAAAATTAACAAAACACTCAAAAATACTTAAAAATATTTTTAACACATAAACAAGCACTTATACAGGTACACAATATCACAATTTTCCTAAAATAAGTCTACAGCTCAACTAAAATTTCTAAATCAAAAGTTTTGTCGCTTTCTAGACAAAGGCGCCAAAAAAAACTTGATCCTGACACAATATGTGCATGCTTAGTTTGTAATTACTTTAATTTCAAACTCAAAAAAGGTGCCAAAAACTTGAATCACACTGCCCATATGTGCTTGCACCATTAATTCTCGACTGAGTGTTATATAACAAATAATTCTCGTTTTTCTATAAAATTCAATTCTACACACTAGAGATATTACGCAAGTGCACGTATCGGTTTAAGTATTATAGGGCTTTCTTTTAGTCCCCAAGTATCGATCCCACGGGGAAGAAAAAACTCTTTTTACCAACTTAGTAAAACTCTACTTAAACTACAGGTAAAGTATCTAAGAATTAAGGTTGAAATTGTATGTGTAGAAAGAAGCAATTAATACCTACAAATTTTATTTTTAATCCTAAAGAAAATGCTAAATGTTTCTAAACTAATTTTATGTAGAAGAGTTCAAGTTGTATGAAAATTTTTCACCTTACAATGAGATTATAATCAGAATAGGAATCGAAGGTTTATAAATTTGAATGAAGTTTTCTGACAAATAAAAGCATATATATTCTTTAGCTTCTTCCGAATGCATAAAGAACATTGACTAACCTAGAGTTAAGTTCTAAATCTTTGGTTATGTTGGGTAGGTTCTAATCTATCACCCTAGAGCACCCACGTAAGCCCTCAGTTGGGGCTAACCTAGCCTTAAGTTTCAAATCCCAGATCAAATTGGTTAAAATTCTAGTCTGTCACCCTAGAATCACCAATTTACACCTGTCAAATCTTATCTCCCTATCTATTTACGCTCACCCCAAGATTATTTTTTTTTCATCCTAAAGGTTAGTGTGCTAATTACTAATTGAGGAAAAGCATAGTCATCCCAGGTCATTACGTTTTCACAATATATTTTAACTTCTTAATTGGTCAAATTGCAAAAGTAAATTAAGCATAAAGTAATAGACCATCACAATATTGAAATTAAAAGTAATTATAAAATATTATAATCCTACACATGATTAGTTCTCATCAAAGAAAACTACTCATATTTCATAGGGAACATACAACAACACATGAAT